ACACTAAAATAAATTCCCCATCCATCACCTGGAACCAAAATGTGCCTTTGGACAAAAAGAATGCTAGAATTCAGTTTCTCTTTTAGGAACGCTGAGAGCCCATATTATCTTGTCGTCCTACTGTACAATATTCCCAGAGCTTTGCCCACCCTTGTCTCGGATGTGCAGGAGTGCAGGACAAAAACGTTCTTCCCAACGATCTACAACTGTCAAAACCTGACCCCCCTCCCCACCACAGGAGATTCTAGGATGGAGAATGAGAGAGCAGCTTGACAGACGAAGCTCACTACAAAGAGTGGGCGCTTCACGCTGTCCTCTAACAAATAAGACTTATACAATCGGCACTCAGGGAGACCAGGCAGGCACTGGAATCAAAGCGCAGGCCGGTGCACAGCGAGCCTAGGCAGCAGAGGCAGCACTGGAGCTACACAGAATGATGGGAGAGGGATATCCTAGGACAGAATCCAGAGGGAGTTTCCAAAGCAGTGGAGTTCTGGACAGCGAGACGGGCAAGATTCACAACCCGACAGAAGCAACGAGCCAGGGAGGATCTGGGGACCTGATAGACTAAGCAAGGGGTCGGCACACAGCAAGCTGACAAGGCACAAGCAAACACAGCACAGCGACCCCGATGCAAACAGGAATCTCAGCGGAGAACCCAATGACAGAGCGCTGGATCGGGGGCTGCATCAGATCGACTGCATCTACCTTCAATTCTTTGAACTTTTTTTAAAATAAAAAATATTTTTCACTGATGCAAGATTAAGCTCACAAATGGCACCTAAAATTAAACAACATAAAAAAATTAAATCAGCCCATATACCAAGTGGTTTTGTGTTAAATAATGGGGAGTATTGTGTTTCAAAAGTTACGAACCACTGAATTAAAACCTTGGAATTATATCTGCATAAGCTACAAACAATGGTTAAGATTCTCCTTCACACCAACTGAAATAAACTTCCTGAAAACTGCAACTAGGTTTCTACAGGACCTATGAATATGGAACCAGTGCTGTTACAAATCATTCTTGAGAATTACTCAAATCATCTGTCTTCTCCGATTCTTTCATAAGCTAGAGAAAACTGTCCAATTCTAATTCAGTTGTGGTACTACTAGTACAAACTCTAGATTGATAAATAAAATTAAGAATTTAAACTTTTTTAAAATGACTACAAGTTACAGCAGCTCTTCTTCTCCCATCAGTTATGGTATTCATACGCATGTGAGAGGGATATATGCGTGTTGAGAAGGCAGAACTGCATTTAAAAGACCACAGTAAAACG